CTCTCTCTCTCTCTCTCTCTCTCTCTCTTCCCCCCCCCCGTTGTGGCACGTTGCCACCACCTTTTTTCATGTGCCCCTTGGCGACGGCACAGTGGTTTTCTTTTTGGGGCTGTCACGATGTTTCTCTGACGGCTGCTGTCAGCTTCCCCAAGAAAGGATGTTGTGATATGCCCCAACAAAGGCACCCACAGCCTACAGCAAGAAATGTGAACCAAAAGAGCGCCGCTCGTCGAAACAAAACAAACACGCGGCCCAGATCCCAAAAAGAAATGTATTTACAAAACCCATAGGCCAACGGTTTTCGTTCCACGTGCACCATCCGATGCCCCCAACTGGATGGGGCCAATCGCATCTCCACGGCCCTTGCAGACCATGAATATGCAATCACAACCATTCAGTACCCAAATACGGACGGCAACGTTAATTTGTTGATAGTCCAAAAGGCGGTACCCACCCGCGAGTTGGCAGTTTATATGTACGTACTACGTACTACGTAGTGATTATTTCGACATATAGGAGTCAGACACAACATGATTGTCTTGCAGCTTGTTGATATTTCTTACTGTGAAAACTCTAATAAGTTCAATTCTCAAAAACTGACAAAAAGTAATTTACTCATTTTTAAACTACAATGTGTTCTTCTCTCAAATTCTTTTTTTTTCAGCTTTCACTACCTACCGACCACTACTCCTAAGGTGTGTGATTCTCCCTTTGTTTTCAATCTAAAGAAGCATCATTTGATTCATTTCGCAAGACCACGATTCTGGGGATGACATGTCCATATTCCTCATATAAACATTTTCTGTCCTCTTTTCCTTTCTTCTTTTATAATAATTTAATTTAAAGAAACATCATTTTGCAACACCCTACCCTGATGGCTCCTTTCTATTGGAGGGAAGCTATGAATGCTTCCCTATCTGTAGCTCCAGGCCGGGTGCCTCCGACAACAACTCTCCCCGCCCCTGCCCCCCAATCCCAAACCCACCCTAAAAAGGCGTCTAGAGTGTAAGCCAACCCACATGCTTGAGGCTGTTGAGACTTGAAATTTCGTCGGAAAATCTACACAGTAACAGAATACGGCGACGATCCCAAAAACTTTGATCCTAAACTTGAAAACTTAAAGGGTTAAAACTCAAAACTTAAAACTTAGAAGTGTTTTCCCCAACCGCATACCAAAGGAACCAAAGTGCTGACAAGTCGCGGTGTGCCACAGGAACTTGTATTATAAATTTATAATTTAGTAATTTACTACCACAAAACGAGTTTATAAAAGCTGGCTACTTCAGGAGTGGTCCTTGGAGAGGGGGACCACTAAGGGGTGGTCCTCGGGAAGGTGGACAAGGGGGGTGGGACGCACTGCATTGGTATACAGTGGATTGCAGTGTGTCCATTTGGACCCGTTCTTGTTTACACGGTCCTTTAGGGAGGAATGGAGGGAGAGACAGACAGACGGAGGAAGGGGGGAGGGGGGGGAGAGNGAGAGAGAGAGAGAGAGAGAGAGAGAGAGAGAGAGAGAGAGAGAGAGAGAGAGAGAGAGAGAGAGAGAACTCGGCAAAAACAATGAAAAGGCCCCGGTCAATGTCTTTGCTGACCACCAGTAAAAACAACGCCCCTAAATAGGGTTAGAAAGTTTAAGTAACTATTCGGGGAGATTCAGGATGGGAGCGTCCCTGTCAATTTTTCCTGTACCCACCAGGATGTGTGTGGTCCTTCGGCATCACCAAGTGCATCACAATGCACCTGCCCTGCTGCACATCCAGGCACACTCTGAAAGTGGAGTTCTGGTCAGTGCAACACTAATGGTATCTAGTGTCCAAAGATTCAACTGCCACTGGCGCCTCAACCCCCACACACACGCAAAAGGGAAAAAGAAGAAGAAGGCGGTATTTCAGAAAAACAGAGACCTGTCCTGGAGCACTTTCGATACCAAGGCGCTCCCCAGAAGCTTCCGTCGCCTGAACAAGCCAAAGACACGAACAGGCAAAAAGCATCAAAGAGAGCTCATGTGGCATGTGTACCTATATACTTATGACCCCATGACGGGCGGTAAGGGCTAAGACCCGCCTGGTGTGCTATGTGTGCTAACTTCCCACGAACCTTAGCCAGTTTCCCGACCAGATCAGTGTTTTCTGAGCATGAACATAGGACCAGCCGGGCAAGAGTCTAACAAGAGAGTCTCTTCTTGTTTTTGCAAAGCATTCATGCTGCGTGTTTGCCTGCTGCACCCATGTTTGTCACGCAACCCAGAGTTCTGCCCTGCGAGTTCCACAAGCATCCCACAGAGTGCCACTGTGTTACACCCATTTGTCACAAAACCCAGAGTTCCAGCTAAGCGACTTCCTCACGGAGTCCCACAGGGTTCCACGGAGTTCCACTGTGCTCAGTCAAGTCACAAATAGAACTGCCCAGTCAGATATATATATATATATATCGTCATATATATATATATATCGTCATATATATATATATATATCGTCAAATAGAAATATATATATCCTCAAACAGAGCTGCACAGTAAACTGTAGGCAGAGAGGGAGAAGAGGACAACAAACGAGGGGCTGTGACAAACTGTTTCGTCGGAGTTTCACCAACTCATTAGGAGGCTGTATATATACATATATAGTCAAACAGATATAGATATATATTGTCACATAACTATGAACTAAAAGAGCGCACTTTGCGAAACAAACAGCAGAAACAAAAAATTAAAAAACAAGACAAACATGAAGGGCACACTGAAACCATTCATTTTCCTCATTCTTCTTTTAACTCCCCCTTCACTGTGCCTCTCACGTACAAGGCTCGCCACGTTGATGAAGTTGAGCGCGAGCTGCCCCCATCCCCGTGTACCATAACGGTCCACTTGTACACTGTGAGAAAGAGGCAGAGTGAAGGGGAAGGGGATAAACACAGGTAGGAGAGATGGAGAGCAGACAAACAAAGAACGATAAAGGGGAAGTAATGGAAATTACGGAGTGTGGAGGCTCAAGAATGAGCCTGTCCTTGACGACAGAGAGGACATACATTGTAAGGACGAGGTGGATGAACACATGGAAGACCTAGCTGAGCATTCTCAGTGCAACAATTGCCACGACGGGTGGCATTGAGCATGCCCATCATACACCCCCGACAAATGGCATGTCGATTGTAGACCACAATGAAGGAAGAACAGTCACCACAAAAGACCATGCATTCAGTATAGCGCCCATGGCCGCAAAATGGACATATAGTGTCTGGATGCGGAGGGTGCCTGCAGTCAGGAACGGAGGGACAGTCCTGTGCACACATGGATGCAGAAACCATGTCATTGTAGTGATTTTGACAGAGACGATGGCGGCTACAACCGAGTGTAACAGTATTTGTGGCTGTGCAAAGGAGAAGGCCGCACAGTGTTGGTACATTGTTTTGTTGCAGCATGGGGCCAGAGGAATTATCTTCGGCATAAAAGAGATTGCGGACGGTTTGTTGTGGCAAGAAAACAGCATCATTTTGTAAGAAGTCAGTGACATCAGTCATTGCATGGACCATGGTGCCGTTGTCTCATAGCTCCCAGTGGTCAGAGGCATGTACAATGGCCATGTAATGGCCAGGCCCGTGCACAATGCAGGCAGAGATGTGGGATGGAGGATTAAACCACTCACCTGCTCGAGCATTGCGTAGTTCAAGTCGACGGTCCCTCATTGCTACTTGTAGGAAAGCAATGGTAAGGCCTCCTTCGCTGGTATAATTACAATCCTCTGGCTGTAGTTGGGGAAAATCAGCATCAAGCTGAAGGCTGATTGCAAGGAAGTCTGATGGTGTGTAAAACGGGTGGTGGAGAATGTGAAGATAGATATTAGTTGTCGTCAGACCACCGAGATTGGTGATGTTCTCAGGCTGGTTTGTTGGATGCTGGCCAACAATTTGCAGATCACCCAGATGGTGTTGCAAGACCATACTGTATTGGGTTGTTTGCAGGTCAGTCATTTGCAGATCACCCATGTGGTCTGCACGTGGAGGAGCACAAATTTGTGGTTCACCTGAACAGTGCTGGTCAGCTATTTGCAGATCCCTATGTGGTCTACGCCTTGTGGGGTTAACTGCAATACGGGCAGATCATGTTCCAATCCCTCGATGCTTAGGGCTGCATCCTGAGTAGGGACTGTCCCTGGAGTCAGGAGTGTACTCTGGGCAGGGACCACATCATGTTGTACAGGTGAGTCCTGAATATGTAACGCCGCAGGGTATAAAACATGGTGACGTGGCTGCCTGCAGGCAGCTGGACTGTATGCAGGAGGCATAGGAGTGGATATTGTCATTTGAAACAAAGGAACCGCAACAACCAGTGGAGGAGGCACAGAGAGAATCGGGGCAGACAAAGAAACAGGTTGCTGATCCTCGGACAAGTGACGATGTCGCGGATGTCGTCGGTGATACACAACAAGAGTAGTGGTGTTGCAAACAGAAGATGGACTTGTCCCTAGCAACGAAGGTGGAACAATGAGAACAAGGGAAACTGAAGAGTGTTCGCAAGCGAGACCGTGGAGGAGATGGGGGTGGTGAGGAGGAACGTAGTCGTCTGTGGCCAAGCACAAAAAGAGATGAGAGGGAGTGGATTGGGCAAGATTTCGGAATAAAGGACGTGAGTGTCGAAGAGACTGTGATGTTCTTTGCACTGGAGCTGCAGGAGAGGAAGCTGTAGCAGTAAAAACTGCAATAGGGGGATTTACATTTATGAAAACTGTTGTACTGAAAACTGCAGCCGTGGAAACCGCAGCAGTAGAAACTGCAGCAGTGGAAACTAGAGCAGTGGAAACTGGAGCAGTGGAGACTGCAACAGTGGAAACCGCAACAGTGGAAACTGCAAGAGTGGAGACTGCAGCAGTGGAAACTGCAAGAGTGGAGACTCCAGCAGTGGAAACCGTAGCAGTGGACACTGCAGCAGTGGAAGCTGCAGGAGTGGAGACTGCAGCAGTGGAAACTGCGGTAGCAGTAAATGAGCAGGCAGGGGCAGGACGAGAGCCTCGTGGGGACGACGAAGAAATTGGATGATACAAGGACCATCGCAACATGCGTCTGAACCGCTGAGAAAGACTCGTTACATGCGTAGGATAGTGATGTTGGTGGTAGCACATGTAGCAGGTCCACCCCTTAGCAAGGGTTGGTGGGGAATGCCCACGCGAAAGCATGCGACGAGTAAGTGTTGTTGCCGCAATTCGAAAGTCCTGCCAATTGCTACAGATTTGTTCAAATTTGGTCAGTTGCCCAGTGAACACACCAGTTGGTTGATGGGAAGGGATGTTGGAGGTCGCACTTGGATAACGAATGACAGGGAATATATCCTCAAATATCCTCTGCTCCCTCTCTGCCGACGGTTTACCGGCCAGTTCTGTTTGACGATATATACATGAATATATATGTGAACCGGAGTCTGTAGAGTATTCCATCTGGCGTGGGTGAGTGATAGTCTACTTTGACTTCCGTCACAGGTACCTTGAGGGCAGTGGTTGGTGCCCACCTCAGGGTATCAGTTGTCGGGCAATCCTTGATGCTTAACCACAATCGGGGTTAAGGTGGATTACCACTTACAATGTAATTAGTAAGGGGATTTTGTAGACTGTTGAGGATTCAGCCTCCTGATGAGTCGGTGAAACTCCAACGAAACAGTTTGTCACAGCCCCTCGTTTGTTGTCCTCTTCTCCCTCTCTGCCTACGGTTTACCAGGCAGCTCTGTTTGACGATATATATATGGTCATAATATATATCGTCAAACAGAGCTGCCCTGTAAGCCGTAGGCAGAGAGGGAGAAGGGGACAACAAACGAGCGGGCTGTGACAAACTGTTTCGGCGGAGTTTCACCAACTCATCAGCAATCCCCTAACGGATTACACTGTAAGTGATAATCAACCTTAACCCCGGTTGTGGTTAAGCATCAACAACTGCCCAACAACCGATACCTTGAGGTGGGTACCAACCACTGCCCTCAAGGTACCTGTGACGAAAATCAAAACAGACTATCATTAACCCACAGCAGATGGAAAACTCTACAGACAGTCAGTTCACACCCCATCACAAGCCAGCAAAACACCCACGAAACAAAGGTCTGCCACAGCCAAAAAATACACTCCAGACACACCACTGGCACTAGAGGCACATCATGGCCGCGTAGTGACGGCCCCGACCACTGCCGCTCCACCTGACCAGAGAAAAACGTAGCAGGGTGCTAGCGAAGTCATGGTATATATCGTCAAAGAGAGCTGCCCAATAAACCGTAGACAGAGACGGAGAAGAGGACAACAAACGAGAGGCTGTGACAAACTGTTTCGTCCGAGTTTCACTGACTCATCCGGAGGCAACCATCAACAGTCTGCAGAATCCCCTAACTGATTACACTGTAAGTGATAATCCACCTTAACCCCGGTTGTGGTTAAGCGTCAACAACTGCCTGACAACTGATACCTTGAGGTGGGCACCAAACACTGCTGTCAAATATATATCCGCTAAAAGAGCTCACTTCGTGGAACAAACGGTAAACATACATAAGACAAACATGAAGAGCACACCGATTGACCAGACCAACCCACCCAACCACCCACGACGACCACTGAAAGAGCGCACTTTGTGAAACAGACATAAAAATACACAAGACAATTGCAGGAATAACCATATCACTTATAATAAGCATATCACTGACCGACCGACACCAATCAACTGACCAGACCGACCTGCACCCGCCCACCCACCCACGAATAGGCAGGCCGGAGGGCAGGCAGGTAGGCAGGCATGCAGACAGTGGCACACAGAGGCTGACAGAAAGACTAACAGACACACAAACACACAACAGCCAGGCATGTGTGGGCAGGCAACCAGGCAGGAAGCCAAGCAAGTAGGCAGGCAGGCACGCACTCAGGCAGGCAGGCAAGAGAGAGAGAGAGAGAGAGAGAGAGAGAGAGAGAGAGAGAGAACGCACCTATGATCCACGAGGTCAACCCTTGTTTCGTCCAGTCTTCGAATAGTGCCATGCTGGACATAATTGGCAAATCAGGAACCCAAGCAGGTGAGCAATAAGAGCGGGGGGAACGATTCTGTTGTGAAGAACCAGACAAGGGCATGATTTGGTTCTTCAATCCTTATGCTATTCACTAGAAGAATCAGAAGCTATATAAAAATAACATAGTTTACAGACTCAATGCAGAGGGTCTTCAGTCTTGACTCAGTGCAGTGGATCGAAGACCGAATACAGACCCAGTGCATATGGAGAAAACATCCACATAATTTACAGAATGCGGGCGCTTTTTGCCTCCATATGCGGCCTGCAGTAGGGCCTTGACTTCCTGCCTACATGACATAAATAGGCAGACAGCTAGAAAGAGAGTGGTGGGGATGTGTGTCGTGGAGAGAGAGAGAGAGAGAGAGAGAGAGAGAGAGAGAGAGAGAGAGAGAGAGAGAGAGAGAGAGAGAGAGAGAGAGAGAGAGAGAGAGAGA